TCTTAAATTTGTATCAATAAACCAAAATCCCTATCAATGCAAAGTATTCATCTCTATAGCATATCCCCCTTTAAATGTAAACACTTTTAAACAATATTTGGGAATTTGAGCATAGTTCTCTCCAAAACACTTCCTGCTGTTTATTGGACAAAGCATTTCTAGGGCTCATGGAGACCTCTTGAGAGGGGTCTTGTTCCATCACACGGCATTAGCCTGAAAGGAATCCATAGGTTCTCATCTTCTGTGGAAACAAAAGCAGAACCTCTTTTCTGAAGCAACATATTCTTAGACCCAAATTTTGAAATCAAGATATATATATACATACATATATATATATATATATATGTATATATATATCTTATATATGTGTGTTGGTTTAGCTTAGCAGTTCCCAGAATCAAATAGCTCTCTGTAGTAAAAATAAATAAATAAATAAAACACAATAATATACATAACCCAGACTCTCTGTGTATATTCCATCTTTACATGGCTTATTTTTCTTTACCCTTTTAATCTATGACTGTCTGTACTCTGTCTCTTTAAAGACTTTGTTTTATTTTTTTTTCATTTTTTTTTCAGACTGATTCCTTTTATTTAAAGCACATCAAGTTATTGAAATGATGGCTTCATGTAAACTGTCCCTCAGGAGCGATTGTAGAGCCGAGGGGAGTCCCTAGATGTTGCCTTGCAGAGATTCCTCAACTGCAATCTGGTACTGAGTTTCCTCATCCAGGTGAAGATTCATGAAAGCTCCATAGTCGAATTGGTGTCTCTCGTTTAGATGACTAACAAAATTTCTGGTAAGCTGAGTAGGGTTGCCCCATGGAAGAGATAGACAAATCGGGCAAATGGATGGAACAACGTGAGACGCGTGGTTGCTGTTACAATGATCTAGCAAACGCTGTCGGGTCATGTTTGCTTCTTCGCACAGAGGACAATCAAAAGAAGGCTGATCAGATGGGATTGCATTGTCTTCTAGGTAAGCCTCGGCATTTTCAGAGGTGGATGCCTCGCTGTTGCTGTTGCTGTTGCCCACGGAGTCTGGAGACAGTTGGAAGCTTGAAAGAGTCGTAGTTGAAGAAACTCCAAACTCATCTTGATACTTTTTGCAAGTTTTGTAATGTTGTCTCATGCGACAGAGTTCAATACGTTGGAAACAGTATCGGCAACTACCAGGAAAACTTCTCATGATTGTCTCGAGGTCTAGGGCCCTCTCTGGACGTGCTCTTTCGCGTCTAGTCACATTTCCACGGCACAGGGGGCAATGGATCCGGCTCTCCTTCATTGCAGTTAGGAAGCATTTTCGGCAGAAAATGTGCTGACAGGCGGCAACCCGAACCGGCGTCTTGAAAACTTCTTGACAGATTGGACAGTAGAAATCATCTTCGGTGTAAGGCGTGGAGGCAGACTCATCCTGTGCCATGGTGGTGATGGGTGGAGGCCCAAGGTGAAGGCGGCTGTCAATTCACAGCCGAAGAGGTGGCAGTGGCAGCTTGTAGCGTGATTCCCTCTGACCCTCCAAGTGGTGCTTCAGGTCAAACTGCCTCTCTCTGCTGCCGGTCGGTAGAGGGATAGCCCTATGCGGTCCAATTTCAGTCCGTTTCTGTCCCGCAATTGACTGTATTTTGAGTAGTGGAAACCCAGCAAATGAAGGGTGGCGCTCTGTTGTCATGAGTCTCAAAGCCCACCAGACCCGAAGCTTATGGTAATGGGGTCCTTCCCTCTCCGCCGCCGGCAGCCTACTTGTGGTTGAACTGCTGCCTGCCTAGCTGGTGGTCACTGCAGAGTGGATAGCCACACTACCAAGGCCTCCTTAGCAACCAGCCCATCACTCCTTCAGCTGGTTGTGACGTAAGCCGCACCAGGTACATTTAATTTACCTTTTTAAGTCTAGGTGAGTCTGGTGACACAGGCTTGTAATCCGAACCAGTAAGAGAGGCCGAGGCAGGACGATCGTGAGTTCTAGTCCGGACTGGGCAACTTAAGGAGAAACTTAGAGGGTCCCTTGTCTGGAAAAAGTAAGAAGAGTTCTGCGAATAGAGCTTCAGGTTTCTGTTGCAGCATGTACAAAATGCTAGGTTTAATCCCTAGCACCGCAGAAAGTCCCCCAAAGAAATTCTTCTGTGTGGCCAATTAAGGATCACTGTTATCAGGCAACTGTCTATTTTTTTTTAAACTGCTTACTTCTTTTTTTTCTGCTTACTTCTTTTTATAACTGTCTATTCTTTTTCTTCTCTCTCTCTCTCTCTCTCTCTCTCTCTCTCTCTCAAGCCTACATACATACATTTATCCAACACTGTAACCTATTAGAGGTCTTTTCCATCTGACTTTGTCTTTATTGCATGTCTGTTATAATTTTCTGACCAGGAGTGCTTTTAAAATGGTAAAGAAGCTTGATTGCAGTGGCCCTGGATGCAGCTCTGCCCTTCTCAGGCTTTCAATATGGCGGAAGTAGATCACGCTGATTCTGGGGCTGCTGGGTAGTAGCTGTTCTCACGACCTCAATACTGGGAAGCTCCGTGCAGCATATAAACCCTTTTTATATGAGTAAAATCTAAATCTGCCATGCAACACACTGCAGGGCCTGGAAATATCTCGGTGTATGGTGGTGGGAATTCTCTTCCTGTGCACTCCTAGCCAACAAGATCCCATCACCCAATTGAGTCGATTGAGTCCGAGCACTGAGTCGGGGTATGTCCTCAGCTACTTTCCCCGCAATCAGGCATAAAAGTACCCAGGACCACAAACCCCACAAACCCCATTCAAGTGCTCAGCCTCCAGAATGAGCCAGAGTTGTTCGTGCAACTAGCATGAATCAGGAAGCCTTCCCTAACAGAAATTGCATGGTTATTGTTTTGTTTTGCTTCTACTGCTGAATCAGGAAGACCTCTCTTAAAAGAACCCTGGTTTCTCACTGCCAGAAAATAGCCCATGGTGGGTGGGGGTGGGGGAAATGTGGCTACCAAGGAGCTGCACTTGCTCCCATTTATATGGGGTTTAAAAGCCCTCTTTTTCCTTTTTTAAGCTATTTTAGGCTTTATGCGGATGTACATTGCCAAATATTGGGTGTCAGTCTGTTGGCAGAGGCTGCTTGTCTGTTCCTGGTCACCCAGACCCAAAATAATCACACAGAAACTATACTATTTATGCATTGCTAGCTAGCTCTTATTTTTTAAAATTAACCCATTTCTTTTAATCTGTGTATTGCCACGTAGTTGTGGCATACCATCAAGGTTCCATACAGTGATATCTGTCTCCTGCATCTGTCTTCTCTGGTGGCTCCATGGCTTCTCTCCGACTCCGCCTACTCTCTCCTCATCTATCTGCTTGGAATTCCCATCTTGTACTATTCTGCCCTGCAATGGGTTCAAAGTGGCTTCTTTATTAACCAGTGGTATTCCAGCATACAGAGGGGAATCCCACATCAGGGTGCCTAGTAGTTGCTCCTCAGCCTCACTAGGACTTGCCCTGGACCTCTTTCAGGGTGCACTGAACTTTGATGTAGAATTGTACACTTGGAACAAGTCTTCCTGGAGGCCAATTTGTCATATCCCTGCACTTGTCATTGTCTATGTATTCCTCTATAATAACTGAAAGTTTTTGTCTTTTATGTATACCTCAAAGCCCTCTTCTCCTTTCCAGCATCAGCTACTTTACTGCTGCTAATGTGGAAAGATTTGACCCCTTCTGTGGGAGCTCAGCTTCCATTCATCTTAATAGCATAGTACTATTTCCAGAACTAAATCCGCAAGCAATGGAATGAATGACTAGTCAACATGAATCAAGACTCAAAAGTTGGTAAAAAAAAAAAAAAAAAGACTTGAAAAAAGACCAGTAGACATAGGGTTAGTGTTGTCCCAGTCTTATAAAAGTAATGTTATCTTGAGCAGCAAACCATGGGAGATTATCTATCTATCTCATTATATATGTATTTAATGTACAAATGTATGTGTCTGCTTAAGTTTATTCGTACCATATATGTTCAGGGGTTCTTTTTTTTTCTTTTTTTTTATTGAGAATAAGGAAAAAAAGTTTCCGCCTCCTCCCAGCCTCCCATTTCCCTCCCCCTCCCCCAATCTTCTCCCCCTCCCCCCTCTCTTCTCCCCCTCCCCCCACTCCTCTCACCTTAAAGCAAGAATATGTTGTCTGACCTTCAGGAAATGGAGTTAGAGATGGTTGTTAATGTTAATTACCTGGGTACTGGAAACTGAACCCAGATTCTCTAAAAGAACAGTAAATAGTCTTAACTGCAAATAATTATAATAAAACATACATCTCCCAAACTCAACAACAAAAACCAAAACAAGATCATTCCCTGAATATTATAGCAGAAAGAATCTTTAATGATGTAAATAGTGATTCATGATTTTAATACCATCACTTGAAAGGCTGAAATAGGAAGATTGCCATGAGTTCGAGGCCTGCTTGGACTACAGAGTAAGACCCTATCTCAAAAGAAAGGATGAAAGAGATGGGGGTGGAGACGTAGAGTGAGAGGAAGAGGAAAAGGAAAAGGGATGGGAGGGGTGGGGTTAGGAAAGAGAAAGGTATCCATATCTCCTCTGCCCTGCCCTAATGTTACTCCATATTGCAAAGAACAATGGTTTTTCAGATTTCCTCTTGCTCTTAGAGACTCCATTTTACCAGAAGCATTTGAGTATTATAAGGATGGAGAAAAACTGTACCTGGATGGTACATGTGAATTGCACCATCTCTACGGCACCACTCATCCTGAGCAGTCTGATAAATCCTGGGAGCAGAAAGAATGCCAATATGCAGATTTGTTGAAGTAAATTGGGACTGTAAGGGTACATGAAATTATTAAAATTCTGTCAGAGAAACCAGGCACAAAATCTTATTAAACATACCAGAAGAAGGAAAGAGTACAACTTTGTCCTAGCCTGCTCTTTGTTGCTTACACATCTCAATTACAGTCTATAAGTGGGGAAAGTCAGGACAGCAACTCAAGCAAGAGCCCTGGAGGAATTCTCTTTATTGAATTGCTCTCCATGGTTTGTTCAGTTTGCTTTATTACACAAACTGGTACTACCTGCTCAGGAATGGCACCACCCACAGTGGACTTGGATGTGCCACTTCAATCATTAATCAAGAAAGACACCTCATATTATAATAATGACACCTCCTACAGACCTGTCATCTGACCGCCCTAGGTATGCATCAAAGACCAAGAGAAAGAGAATCCCTATGCTTCACTGGTCTTGAACACAATCTGTGCTGTGCGTGTGATCTACATGAGCTGCTATCTGCCCATTTTCTACACATCCCTCTGAACCTGTCATTTACCCTCTGTTTATTTGATTTTCTTGACTCAGTTGATCCTGCTCTTTCTTATTTGCAGTTGGACTCCACCCAGCAGTTGTGCTCCATCTATGCTGCAGCAGCAACAGTAGGAGCCTACCTGTAAGTCTGAAAGCCACATCAGTTATGGTGTGACTTTCCATTCAGCTGTTTCTCCTCAGTGCTGAGGACCTTGTATCTTCACTATTTTAGGAACGTTGACCATTCAGGCCTCTCTGAAACTCATCACTTCTTAAACTCCTTTAAGGCCATTCTGCAACACATACACACATACATACATACACACACACACACACACACACACAATAGGTAGATGACAGATAGATAGATAGATAGATAGATAGGTAGATAGATAGATAGATGATAGAGATAGACAAAAAATAGATTTAATCCATGATATGCAATGTATAATCTGAGGTTTGTATTAACAATTAAGATTGTAATACAAGAGCTTTTATTTGCCTTGCTAGGTTTATCAAGGAAAGCAAGACTATCTGGAAAGTTGAAACCTACTGTGCCTTGTGAATTTGTCATTTAATAAATTCTGACATTGTGAAAAGAGGTAAACATGGTTATGTTTGTTTCTGTTATAGTAAACTTATCACAAAGAACTATGAACCTTTAAAACATGAATTTTCTGCCTTCATTTACACACAAGGAAAACAAAACAAATCTCTGAGTGGCTAAGTAGAAAAGTACCTACAGCCAGTGAACAGCAGTAGAGAGGACTCCCAACTTCTGTTCCAAGGTGGTTTGAGGGATGGCTACACAATGATTATTCTGTTCCATGCTAATGAAGGAAATCTGGTAAGAGAAGCAGAGATTTCCTTATTCCATTAGCGCAAATAAATAGGTTCAATTGAAATCTCATCACATTTCCTTGCTACCATTTATTGTTGGGGAATCAGGCCATCGCTGTATATTGCATTTATGCAGCCAATTTCCCCACAAAATCTCTCCTAAAGCAGGGATATTGATGCCTTTCACATAGTCTAACCGACTTATGATCTTTAGAAGCCTAGGAGTGGTATGCTTTGTCACTGTGGGACTCAGTGTCATCATTTGCAAAAAAAAAAAAAAAAGGACAATGATGAGCACCTATTT